TTCCATTGTAATAATATTATAATTAATGGCAATCAAATTGTATATCTTACAATTGACATTGCTGCATCCTTATAGAGTACATGTTTGATACTTTACCAACGACTATAAGACCTATACGTTACAATATGTTTTGCAATAAACGATGTTATTATTATGGCCATATTAGGAATTTACCACGTACATTCAAGTACGAATTTACCAATCGTTATAGGCTTTAGCTGGTCAGAAAAAGCTTCATGGCCGCGCACATGTAGGTACATAAAGTTTTGCGTCTCGGCTCTATTTATAGTGTATGCGATTCAAAAAATACAAAAACTTTCGGATGTAGAGCCTTACTTACGTAATAGCGCATAAATAACTTATCGAGCAACATATCTGATTCCCGGTACTCCACGCTACCTATGTTAGAGTCCGAGGTGAGATTTTCCCATACAATTGTTTACTGGAAGTGCCTTGTCTCAGGATCAGCCAATATGTCAGGGTTTGATAAATACGTGACTCTAAGGTTAATTAAAAACCTTTTTCGGAATTTATACTTTTTTCGGAATTTATTATTATTTCTCAATTTAGAACTCCTTACTGGAGTTTTTACTTTTAAAATGGCGCGTAAAATAAAAAGTAGGTACGTAGTAAAATACGTAGAATAATAATTCTTCTCTAATTCACGGACCTAACAAACCGACCTTGTTTTCTAGTCTATAAGATATTCACAAAAGTTGTAGACAAAGCATTATTTACAAAAGAATCGTGTATTAAGAAACACTGGCCTTTAACTTGGTAAGTTATAACAAATACAGTCTGCTGTACAGATCCAGATTCATTTATTTGTCAAGTATAATTTATAGTACAAATTGCACTACATGTCAAAGAATAAGAAATTATATTAAGATCGTCATACAAAAGTGAAAATTATAAGAAAAATACACAACAATTACAAAACTAACAATTCATTAATGATAATATTGTTGTCATTAAATTACGTAATCAAATATCATTCTCCATCAAGGATCGTCGTAAGTTATTTACAAATATACAAAAGTATGTCAATGCGACAATAATTAAAATAAAATAGAAAGTACTCAATAGCGTTACATTTTTAGGTCCATAAATTAATTAACAGATTAAAGCATTTTCCAAGAAAAGTTTCAGCCGGCGCCTAAATGTTTCGTCAGACGGTTCAAGTCTGAAAGTGTTGATCTACCGTCGCCTGTTGATTACAAATTGAGATTGGGTGACGGCTTGTCAGCTTAAATATTCATTGTCACCAACTTTCTTGACAGCCTTTGTAGCGTTTGTTGTATGTGGAATGACTGACGACGAGAGTAAAACCAGAATAATGTTCTTTGATTTATTAAAGACAAGTATACAGAATAGCGTAGTGAACAGAAAAAAAAATTGTGATGACATAGAAATCAAAGTATTCATGTAAAAAAGGCTCTAAAAATTAATACAGTTAAATTTCGAATCTATATGTAAAGATTAAAAGGTAACGGAAAACAAACCAACACAATAGGTACTTAAAAAAACATTTGTAACCAATTCTGCGTTTCGCTTAACCCCTGCTGATTTATCGGGCACAATGTTACCTATACTTTTTATGTTATAACCATTATAACCATTGAGGACTCGATTTCATGACAACATAAACTAAATCGGTAATATTTCTCACACTTATGCGCGTTTGCTCTGTATTAAGTTGTAGGCGCTTACGCAATTGTCTTCTACTGACAAAACCGAGCCTATTCTAAGGTCCATGGTTACTTTAGTACTCTTTGGCGTTGTTTGGTACAAATGTAATGACCCGTGAGCAATCCTGTTCCCAACTGAGACTAGGACAGCAGTGTCCTCTAATGGTCATACTAAATGTAATGCCGTTTTAATCCGTCTGCTATAGTCTATTTCATGATGAGTCCTGTGACATTCCCAATTTCTACGTTTCGCGCATACTATTTATAACTAATCTGTCAACCAGGTTACAAAAAGAAGTGGTAAATTTGTCATAATGTTCCAAAAACACACAATATTTGTTGCAATAGTAATGTTAAATAAAAATTAGAGTTTATTAAGTAGAAAGAAAATGAAATGATAAAGGTAATAAATTATCCCGATTACTTGTTGCGTAAAACGGAACATTTTATCCGTAGAGATTTATCTATCCATAAAATCTATAAATCGAATCGACTATGGTCATCTCGCCAATACAACCTTGTAAGCTGGTCGTTTTCTTATGTTTTGAGCTGCGTGATGTTTTCGACGTAATTGTTCAAAGTTCTTTTCGTTGCAGTTGATTTTATGCTTTGCTGTTGACTTTTCATTTGGTTGTAAGTATTTTTTTTTATTTGTTGTGTATGTTTTTGGTAAATTAACAACATAATAATTGAATAATTTCTATTTTGTTTATTATTTGTTCTAAAATTATTTTCTGTTAATCGATTCTCTCTTCGTTACAAATTATATAACTAAGATAACTAAATCGATTTTTTTTTCATTCAGTTTTACATCACTACATCTCTAGAAACTTCAAATCTCAAACGTCACCGGAATCATGCCATGTGAAATGAACTATCTTAGAGGATCTATACATAAAAAAAAAAAAGCAAAAGGTATAAACCTTAGTGACACAGGATTCGTGTCGCCTTTAATTCTAGAAATATTGAAACGTTATAAGTCAATGGTTATATGCATCGACTTACAATTATATGGACGTCGGGTCCGCGCTAAAAAGTGTCCGAACTTATAGGGCGTTAAAATCGTATACAGAGCGTCATTCACGCTTTAGTCTTCGTTTGTTCGACTGACAGCGAAGCAAGCAAAATTAGACAGTACTGCGATGACATTACAATTTAAATTCAATGTTTTAGCTTTTTCTTATTCCCTTACATGTTACTACGTTTAAATAAGTTGACTTGGGACATTTTTTTCGTGGTTTTTGTGTTAGACCCGTCGTCCATTTATTTGTAAGTCAATGGTTATATGTCACTAATTTTGACTTTTATTGTATTAGGGTTTAACAACGTGGAAAATATTCACCAGAAAAAATGAGAATTTTCAAAATTAAAACGTTTTTGTCCAAGAAATTATTTTTAAAACAAGCTAAATTTCATTGTCCAAATAGAAACCGATTTGATTTCCGATTTTTGAAAAACTGGCCACCGTTAAAAAATCAAGGAACTACGGGTTGAGCTCACAAAATTCAATTGCTTGTTGAACTACCCCTATACACATTAACTACTCAACGTTTTGTTTTCACTTTCCCCTACACACACCTATCTCAACGCAATTACTCCCATTACGGTGGCAAACTGCAAAAAACACTCTGACTACAGCTATAAAGAAATATGACTATACTTTCTAGGGAGCAAGTTTGGCATCTAGCCAAACAGGCCGATCGTTGGTTTATTTTGAGTGAACGCGGAGACAGAGTTAGACGAAATCGGATTCATTCAGCAGAATTCAATTTTCGTCCAATTGTCTTGTATAGAAAGCATTATTTTCAAATATTCAAATACAATTTTGACAACATTGCGTTACAATGTTACACACACACAATGTAACATGTAACATTAAGTTTTGTTTATAAACAGTTTCTTTATAGTGCAGTGATCAGAGACACTCTTAGAATTGCAAAATGTGCTTTCGTTCAAATTTAATTCACAAAGTGTAAGTATCAGCGTTTATAACTTTGGTGTTTGTTTAATACTCCCGCTTTTAGTATTTAGTTAAGTTGTTTGTGTAAACGGGATAAATGTGTAGATAAAAACTTGAACATTGTTGAACAAATTGAAGCCTTACTTTCTCAAATTGTAGGATATGGCAAAACTTAAATTCCTTATCACGAGTGTTAATTTGGATACATTACTATAAGAATAGGTTAAAGTCAGTGTGTGAATATGAAGGAATGTGATGTGAAATCATCCTGAAAATTAGTATACGCCTACCCTGCTACTGCATTTCAGTAACTTTGTGCTTTAAAATACGAGTTGAGAAAGGAAGGCGATGAAATTTCAATGTAGATTATGTTTTCTACTTTTTTCGGTTAGTCCAAATATGATGGAGTTAGAAAGTTCTTCTTCTTCCGTTCTTCAGCTTTTGTCCATGTTTTACCAGTATCAAGTTTTATGCTTAGTAATTTCAGGGTTTTTGTGAACTCTATATAGTTAAAATTGTCAGATTTGAAGTGAAACTAGTAAGACGAAAGAAGGCGTCCAAATTAATTAAATATATTAATCATCATCATCATCATATCAGCCGGAAGACGTTCACTGCTGAACATAGGCCTCCTCCAAAGATTTCCAGATTAGCCGATCAGACGCGACGTGCATTTAATATTTAAGTATAATTATGTTTTTATAAAAAAAACCGCCTTTAAATTAAATATATAAGTATTTTATTAAAAATAATCGATGTCAAAAGTTTGGTTATCGATTTTCGCTATATCGTGTTTTATTTTCAATAAAATTGCATCTGTGTACAAAGTTTTATTAAGATCAGTTAAAGGAAAGTGGGTGAAATTCAATAAACAAGATTAATTCCCCGATTTGTCACCCTTAGAGGTGGAACATCCTTATTAAATTTGAAATAATCGCGTAAGTCGGTTAAATAAATAATGTAAAAATAAATACAATCTGTTATATATATAGGTATTATAAATTACTGATTCATGTTAATTGATCATCAATCTGATTTCAAGTGTCTCTGATTGTAGGGATTGCCGTGCTCTTGATCGAATACCATTTGTTGTTGTGATTCTTTAATTCTTTATACGTAAATAAACGTAAATACGTAAAAATTTATACATATATAATAGTTTATACGTAAAAAAAGTGTACCTACGTATCTACTATATAAGTAAGTGAAATAGGTATCAATCTTGAGTCAATGACAAGTATTTTGTAGTTATACGAGTATTGCAAGTTTGCAAAAATGGTATGACAATTACATTTCAAGAGTATATATAAATTTTCAGATATCAATTAATAATATGGCTTCTAGCAGCGACAATGATTGCAAGCTCTGAGAGATGTAACCAAACTCCACCGGGGGCGAAGGTGCCAACACCCACGGATCCCAAGGAGGGTCCTTTCAAACTCATTGTTGACAATAAGGGCAGCGACGCTGGGAAGTATTTGCCTGACCAGACATATGTCGGTAAGGCCCATGCCTCAAAATCTATGAAATGACACTAAGGCTATGTTCAGTTGACAGAATTTTAACGCGCGTTTATATATTTACTTATAAATATGCGTGGCACCGCGCATTAATGTTCGGTACCGGTACCGCCGTGTTTAAAAGGGGGCATTCATTATCCTGCATTGCAGTCCGTCTTGCCGTCCGCCGCGTAATGCAGGGTTATGAATGTAGTCTCATGCAAGCGATCCTGCTATCCTGCAATAGGTCCTGCGAGACTCCATACGTAGGCCCACGGACGAATAAAAACAATAGAAGTACCTTAAGTCTCAATTACTATGAGAGCCGATGTCGCCAAAACTCATACATTCTTAACTTGGAACACTACAAAATGTTGATATTGTTTATTAAGATTATTTAAATTGATTATTGTTAAAAAGAAATAAGATGTTCTGGATTGTTAATATAACTGTGGATTGTTAAGTTCAATATCATCATTACCTATTATTACAAGTTGCGACGTTTTGATATTATATTGAAATTTTAATCAACGTATTGCCCTCTAGCGGTTACTTGCTGAATCACGACGAATTGGAGCTGTTAATTTAGTTCTCCAAACAAGAAGCGACCATATTCCAGGGGTATACGCATTGACTTACAGTTATATGGACGTCGGGTCCGCGCTAAAAAGTGTCCGAACTTATATGGCGTTAAAATCGTATACAGAGCGTCATTCACGCTCTAGTCTTCGTTTGTTCGACTGACAGCGTAGCAAGCAAAATTAGACAGTACTGCGATGACATTACAATTTAAATTCAACGTTTTAGCTCTTTCCTATTCCTTGAAATGTCACTACGTTTAAATAGGTTGACTCGGGACATTTTTTTCGTGGTTTTTGTATTAGACCCGTCGTCCATTTATTTGTAAGTCAATGGGTATACGCATTACTTTCGTCTCTTGTAATAAAAAAAATATTTCGATAATAAAAAAAAAAAATATTAAAATAAGACTCCGATGATATTAAATATCACCACGGGTAACATTTTTGGTGCGGCTATCAGTTTTGCACTCCAAAACAGCACAATAAGGCATTTTTCTAGGATTTTAGAGAATTTGTACGAAAGAATGACACAACCATACCATACAAAGCGAAACTGGCGGACTGATCTCAGATAGGTCTGGAAAGACGCCTACAGTTGGCACGTGTCAGACGCTAACTAACCACATCTACTGTATTTTTATTGTTCTGGGCGTGGGTCATACGCAGGTTAGTGTGTGAGCAGTCTTCTGCTTGCGTGGCGGACGGTCATGCAGGTAGTGAGTGGGCCGTTTAAACGAAATTCTCGTTCTCGTTGATTGGGTTAAAACCATTGCCCATCTCAGAATGCGCATCGATGCGCAGCAGCTGTCCATCCATTTGAACCTAGCGGAACAATTCTTTAATTTCATACCGATATAAGTACTTCGATTGCAGTAAGCATAAGGGCGTTAGACGAAAAACGACCATTCATGAAGTTCATGATAACTGCTGAGGGCGCAGGGGACGACAGACAATCGGACGATTTGAGGCCGCACAAGGCCGAAGTCGGCTCCCTAAAGCCTTTGCAAGAAGACCATATTGCCACTTATAGCGCGACATGTCTAAACACTGTAATGAACGTGGACAATTCGCTTAAGAAATCTGTTACGGTAAGTCTTTGTGCAGTCTATTGCAACAAGTAACCTACCTCCTTACTTGAACTTGAACCTGACTTAAGTAAGGAAGTATGTCGTACTACAAATAAAAAACTCCTTACCAACCATGGCTGTAATGGAAAGAAAAAAGGCCCGTGGGTTTTATTTGGGGAATTATAGTCAAGTTAGCCTGTAGGCAATCATACTATTCACGTGCAAATGTAATGAGAAATAAATTACTTACTAATTTTGTGACAAACTGTTACCAACGAGCCATTCATAATACTATAGATGGGGTGCACAAAAGAAGCCTCCTCGCAATGGCGTACTATTCATGTCCTCTGCACGTTTAGCGAACAGTGGGCTACAATCAGCGAGTAGGTACTGAAGCATAGCGCTGGCTGCTTTATTTTATATTTAGAATTGTGTAAAAAATAGAAGGTTGTTGTCAAATGAACATCGAGAGAGTTCTGGACAAATCTTCAAACCGAACGCTCACAGTAAATCTTTACTTATGAATTGATTCCTCGTTTATTATTAAAAAGTGCCTCTTTCTACGCTATAACCACGGCTACGCTCCCACAGTACCTAACAGTCAACAGCGCATCGAGCTATAAACTTGTGTTCGAATTCGAAAAAGCGCACGTTACGCCGGACTGGCAAATTCTTTCAAAACATGATCCACACTAGTGGCGACTACTGCTAATGATGCGGGTAGTGGGAATAACTTCTGGGTCATAATAATATAGCCATTAATACTATGTCTGAAATAAACAAGTATTCATTTTTTTTATTCCAACAGGTGCACTGGATATCACCAAAAACAAGTGAGAGAAACCAGAGGGTACGATTTCGCGCAATGGTAGCAGAAAATGATGAAAAATGGTATGCCGGAAGCACAGACCGGGAAGACAAGCTGTCAGTCGTTCTCGAGAAGGACAAAGCGTCCCCTCCCGATCAGCCTCCGCTACCGCAACTTAACGTGTGCAGACTGTGTAGCGAAGCACGCTATGAAGTAAAAATTTTGCTTCCTTCTCTTTGTTATTCGGTTTCATCAAAACTAGAAACTCTACATACACGGTCTTGATTTGTAATCATTTTAAGTTAACTATAGCAATGCATGAAAGTCCTAAACTATTACTTAACATGTGTAATTAGTTTATATTTATATTTATACGTGACTATTCGATTTGTGAAGTCCACTACCATTTCGAGTTCTTAGGTTTTCGCGATTGTTACACATAGGAAATGAAACTATTTTTTCGGATTTAAATCGCGTATATTTGTTTTTTCAAACAAACCGACGTTTCCACTACCATTGCTCACCATTGTCCACCACTGTGGGCTGATGTATGGACATCAGCCACCGTAGTGGGACATCGTCTAAGTGATCTATTTAAAAATTGGTGCTCGTCAGACTTCTAATACCTTTCAGTTCTTTTTTGTTCACACAGGTCATCTTCAAAGGGCAATGGTCGAGAGGTAATCACCCCCTCAACTTTCCTGAAAAGCTGGATGAGATAGCGTTCGAAACCATGATCGGAACGTCACACGATCGAAACTTTACACTTTGGGAGCAAGGTTACAAAGCTGGAAACGGACTGAGAGTTATGGTTGTTGACTACGATGACCTTCCTATGCACAATTATATAATAGAACATGTAAGTACAGGCACATAACCATATATTGAACGTTTTTGTTAGCTTAGTGATAAACCAAGCTCTCCGTCAGCCAGCAAACAGTAGTTATCTTCGATTTTCATCATTCTTTTAATTCTATAATACGCGTATAATAATTAAAGAGCTCCGAAACAAAAACTGATAAATGTGATAAACTTCGATTCCAATTTCGTTTAGTCTTATTGAATGAATTTGTCGCTTTATTTGTGTTCAGATCCGTGCATTTCAAAGGCATTTTTAAAGCGGATTTAAAAGAAGGATGGCGATAGCTGCCCCAATAACGACGAAGAGCCGTTCATGGACTTTGCTTGTGTAATTATATATATGTATATTTATACGTTTTAGTTTATGCCTAGTTATCAATATATTTTTGTATATTTTTAGAAGTCGGGAATAAAAAAACGTAAAACGTATTTTAGTATAGATGCAAGAACACAACGCAATTGCTTCAGGTCAACCACAGATTACGTAACGTTCTTGTACGCATGTTTCATTTTAAGCAAGATTGAATGTTTACCTGAAGTATTGGTTATTTTATAGTACACGCATAAAATAAAAATAAAGCTATAAAATACCTAATGAAATAATCAATTAAACAGTAATGACATAAAGCAAAAAATAAAACACAATGTGACAAAAATATTTAGACTATATTTAAATGAGAGGTAATGAAAGTTGCAAAGGAACGTGTTGACAAGAGACCTCCTGCCAATGACAATGTCACATTGATATTAAGAACAGTGTGATCATTTGTGGCAGATTTCTGCTATTTGGGCAGATTTTATTTTTATTCATTTTCGTTACTGCAGAACATGATAAGTTACATTAAATGTGGCAGAGTGTGGCAGATTTGGAATGTTCGGGAAGTTATTTATTATTTTTGGGGACAAACTGAAAACTTGTTTTTGCTGCCGCGAACAAACATCTGAAGCGAAATACAGGACAATTTTATAAACATAACCTATATCAACTTTATAAACCCAGCTTCTACCAGGCTGTACTCAATTAGCTTTTTTGATGCTTTGATAATGAATTACAAGTAGTGATAAGTCTCTTTAATGCACGTCGCCAAAAACACTGGGTCACAAAATACACGTGATGTCGTCATCCTTCTTTAGTGTTCGGGTTGGATATATCGATACCTCTCACGTAACTTGTTGTAAGTCAAAATACCATTTTTTGCTTTTTTAACTGAAATACATCCTTTTTAGTATATTATTGGTTCCTCATTTAAAAGAGAAGTCCCTTAGGCTCAACTCATACCGACGCAGAGTCGAAGCGTCGCGTCGCGTCCTGTTTTTCAATTACAACGTCTGGCGAAGCGCGACGACGCGCGACGACGATCGCATTAGTGCGCCCGGATCACAGTGTGATCGGCGTCTGACGCCTCACTGTGCTCAAGTGATTGGCACGGCAACGCGCGTCGACGCGCGAAGCCGCTCGACTGCAACCTCCATATTTGCATAACACAAATTTGTACCTTAATAATGGGAAAATAGAGATGAATACCTATGCTATAGGCGAAAAGCATGACGCGACGCGACGCTGCAACTCTGCGCCAGTGTGAATTGAGCCTTAGTGTTATGTTCAGTTTCAAACATGGAACCTATAATATACATAAAAAAGGATATATTGAAATTAAAAAGCAAAAAATGGAATTTTTTTGTCTTACAACAACTTACGTGAGAGGTATCGATATAAACTCTTTTGCAAAAAAAACGGGCACTTTAGATTTTTTTCTCTACTTCAATGAAGAAGAACAAGAAATAGGTTTTATTAATTTGACGATATATTGGCATGTTATTTGAAGCATCCTGGCATGATTCTTTATGTTCGAAATTTAAAATTTGAAATTAATAAAAGAAAAATAATGATTATTGTGGATTATTCTAAAATTGCTTTACTAATGGCGCGAATTGCTGAAACGATTTTTAACTGATTACGATATTTTGAAACTTTTTGGATATTTTCTGCAAATTAAACAATTTAATCTTTCTTTTTACATTAAATACCACTTTTTGATATGAGTGATAAAGTGATAAGGGCCGGTAAAATTATAGCACTACTTGAAGAAGGTTGTTCGCAAACTTACGTGTCTCAGCGGCTAAATGTGAGTCGTTCAACTGTCCAGAGGACTTGGCAACGGTATCAAGAGACCGGTTCGGTCAAAAGAAGACCCGGTTCGGGAAGAAAACGATGCACAGAACCAAGAGATGACCGCTTTTTGGTGAGTCAGGCGTTGCGGAATCTTAAGGCGTCAAGTGTGGACCTGAAGAAGAGCCTTGAAGAAGTAAGAGGAGTAGAAGTTAGCTTGTGGACGGTCAGGAGGAGGCTTTTGGCTGCCAATATCAGGAGTTACCGCCCAGCTCGGGGCCCTAAATTACTCCGTGAGCACCGTGTTGCTCGACTTCAGTTTGCTCGGAACTGTGCTTCATGGACTCTGGAGGACTGGAATAAAGTATTATTTTCTGATGAAGCTAGAATCTCTTTGTGTGGAGAGGACCGACGCCGGCGAGTGCTGCGAAGACCACGGGAACGCTATGCAGAAGTGTGTTTCGAAGAAATCACTCCTTATGGCGGAGGCTCCGTTATGTTTTGGGCAGCAATTAATTCGACGGAGCGTACGGAGTTAGTTTTCATAGAAAATGGAACATTAAATGCACACCAGTACATAATGGAAGTCCTAATTCCATATGCACAACCCACATTGACTGCACTTGGGGAAGATTCCATTTTTATGGACGACAATGCTCGCCCGCACCGTTCTGGCGACGTGGAAGCGTACATGCAAGAAGTTGGGATCCGTCGTTTAGATTGGCCAGCTCGAAGTCCTGACCTCAATCCAATTGAGCATGTCTGGGATGTTCTAAAGAGACGGGTAAGATCAGTGCAACCTGCTCCACAAAACAGCAGGGAGCTAAAAAGAGTCATTGCAGAAGAGTGGGAACGTATTCCTCAAAACGTTATTAAAAACATCGTGGAAAGCATGCCCAGAAGGATTCAAGCTGTGATTTTGACAAGAGGAGGTCACACTCGTTATTAGGTTTTTACATTTGTAACTTTATTTAATTAAAAAAAGTAAAAAAAAATCTTGTCTTTATTGCCGACCACTTCTTATTGTTTGGGCGTGTACATCGGTTTTAAAGAATCCATCGTGTTTTTTCTTTTAATTGCCCGAATTCACTTCACACGCATTAATTTACACGATTATAAGTCTAAGTCAAAGTTCCGATAGTAAGACTAAGTCAAAGAAATAAATTTCATTTAATTAACTCAAATCGACTTTAGAACGTAAATTTCCTTAGGTGCCCGTTTTTTTTGCAAAAGAGTGTATGTTATTCGCAGAAACGAACAAAACTACCGTTTGGTAATTTAAAAAAATCGATCGAACAGCACTGAAGATCGCGATAGCTCTTGCGAGCTATTAATGGCAATGTTTGGTAGAGTCTCGCCTTGCCGTTGGAAAACCACATTTAAGCTAGTATTTCATGGAAATCAATTGAGTTCACTAAGTAAGTCCTTGCTTACGCAAAGGCAAAGTTATTTTTTGCTGTAGCGCAAAAATCTGTTGCAAGCACATAGATATATTCGTAAGATCTGCTTCCTCGACCTGTAGCTCTGTTCTTAGTGTCAACAATAACATCAAACAACTGTAGTATTATTATTTATTACAAAGATCGAATCCCTTTGATTCGAACCAGCGTCTTATCACGCCAGGCCGATTTTTTTTTCTGTGGCTTCAGCATATCGGCCTGGTACGTTATAATAAACTAGTGGAATAATTAACAAAAAAATATCGTGGTACTAAAACATTGTGATGTTCAATAAACTTCATACTACAATTGGAGTATTTTCACAAAAAAAATGGTAGCAAAAACATCATTATATTAAAAAAAATGTTATGCAAAGTTCATTTTGTAAATACAAAAAATTTGCTTAGTTCGCTATTTTTGCTTAGTGGAAGTCAAACTTCGTTTTATAAATTTCAGCCTTAGACAGAATGATACCTGCTGTTTTGATATTTTTGCTTTTTTGTTTGCTTGGTTTGTTTGTGTTTTGAAAGTCCGGAATTATATTTAATAATGCCGCGATTTCAAGGGGAAATATCACTCTATATGTACTCTGATTCCGATCTTAAAGTATTCGTTGCAGTAGAGCTCCGTGTGAAAGAGTTCGTCCAAAAAAGTACTGCGATGTAAGCATTCATATATTTCCGTTTTGAAAGGGTGCCGTTGAAATTACAGACGCAAGGGACTTGTTAACTTATCTCTCAGGGTGACGGGCGCAGTGGCAGTGCCCCTCGAACCTTTGCGATTTAAGGCTTTGAGTGTCATTGCAACTGCTTTGGACAGGCGTGTCGCTTACCTCCAGGCGCACGATTTGTTCGGCCCGTCATCTCTTGGTATCATAAACAAAGATATCTGATAATAATCCAGTATTAAAACTATTCAATTGTTAACTGCTGTTGTCTATATTGTTTCACAGATGAATCTAGAAGGAGGCACTAGAACGCTCATTCGAGGCAAACGTCGGCAGTACCCGTACACGTCTGAGCCGCAGCATGCTTTGTTCAGGGTCAGCAGAATACACCATATGTTCTCTGTCATCATTCAAATGCGACCCTCACCAGATTGGTTCCTTGGAACGAGCAAGTAATTTAACTTTAACAAGAAATACAACACATTTGTTTCTTACGCGTTCCGTTGCTAGAGTTTCTGCTCGAAATTTTTCGACTCGAGAAATATCGAGAAATCTACAGGGATAGCACGACTGGGTGAGACTTGCGCGAGAGCGACAAAAAGCGCTCTATGCCGTAAGCGCGAGATCTCTAATGCCGGGTGCACGAGTGTTTCACTTGCGTTTTTCGCTTGCTTGCGTTGGCTGAGTCACGGCGTAGAAATCTGCCTTCAGCGCAAACGCGTTCATGAGTCTTCCGCTTTGTCTTGCGGAGAGACTTGCGCGCATGCGCGGCACCTTGTCTTTGTTTTGGTTTTATTGGACGCGTGGACGCTGCTGCTCTGTGATTGGCCAGTGGTGCTGTCCTCCGCAAACGTTCCCTGTTGCTTGCGCGGAAATATCAAACATGCTAGATATCAAACACACGCAACGCAAAGAAATCCAACGTAAAGCAAGCGGCCGGTGCAAGCGAGCGACTCGTGAACAATCCTACTTGCACGCACAAGACAGATCTTTGCGTATGCGCGAAACGAGTCACGCAAGCAAGTGAAAAACGCAAGTGCACCCGGCCTTAAGGCCATTAGGCCTTATCAGAGTGGCGGCGGGTGCGGGTGCGGGCGCGACTAGATCTATTGGCTTAGTCCGCTAGTACCTTTCACAGTGCTTGGTCTAGCGTCTAGCATCTGTTTACGATTTCGACGTGTAGCCGCTTCGGCACTGTGAAAGCGACTGAATAAACCCTAAGGAAGAATAGCAGTATCTCGCACTTTATGTCGCTCTCTCGCAATTCGCGCCCTGTCGTGTTAGCTCTACTGGGCAACTTCGTGGCGAGAAAAATATCCTGGAGAACTCGAAAAACCAAATTACGTTTAATAATTACTCAAAAATTGGCTTAGAAATTGGCTTCTGATCGTTTTCCTTGCGGTCGGCTAAGGCTAACGATCAGAACTGCGATGCATTAAAACAGGCATTGCAACATAAACTTTATCTTCTACTGGATAGGATTACATTTCTCACAAAAAATTAAAAAGAAGATGCAGCAAGCAGCGGTCGACGGCGCCAAGCTGCGCACGAGCGCACTTTATAAAGTGCGATATAGTATACAACATAATTCTACAATATGCTCGTATAGTACATACCCATTTCTTTTACCAAAATAGTAAAGCCCCGCTGCGCGATGCGGCGGCGACAAGCGCATCCTGTCATCGGCAGCTTGTGCCGCCACGGGCAATACAAAGTTTTACTAAGCTTTTTAATAAATAGAGTTACCAGTGTCGAGCTGCACAGCGCGAACTTTGGTGGTTTTCTTACTACAGAACCCAGACCAGAACCAATTTAGAAAAGTTCATTTCTCAAATTGGTCCTACTGGGTATCGAAACCGGGACCAACGGCACAGGAATTCACTCCGGAGCGCTATACCGACCAATTTTTTGTTACGAATAAATATTTTATTAAATTTGACCAACTTCTGCTCGATTTTTTCTTGCGATTCAATGAAATGATCCTTATAAAAAACTTATCCATTTTTATAATCAACTCACAATTTATAATGGTTTCTAAAACAGATTCCCTGTATCTCCCATGGTTTTCATGGTTAAAAAATTCACTGTATAAATAGGCTCAATAATAAACAATTTCATCATTGTAAACGTCCACAGGTACGAACTGTGCTCTAATGAAGGGTGGCTGTCTAATCACACAATACCCTTGTACCCTTGGGACGCAGGGGTGATGAACGGGGTATCATACGATGTAAGTTGTCATTCGCGTGTTTGATGCTTATAGGTCTCACTATCGCCACGTTCACGGTCGCCACGCTTACGGTCGCCATGGAATTAAGCCGACCGGAAAAAGCTTCGTTTTCGCGTCGGCAGACCGAGCGGAAGCGAAACGTCTTTTTCGCTCTAATTATATGGGCATAAAGCTTTTTTTTGATCAGCCGGTGAATAAGTGTAGCGCTTCTTTACTCGGGCTTACACAGGCGTGCGTGCCTGCGTGCGTGTGTGCACGTGCGAGCGTACGTACGTGCGTGTGTGTGATTATAAGGAGTCTAGAAAAATACATTTTTCAAGCGTGAATTATATTCATCACATTTTAAAGTGAATTGGGCATTTAGCTCCTTTCCCATTGTAGTTTATGGGTCCCAGGAGGTTATGCATTTAGGGGATGAAAACGACATTTTTGTAGTCTGTACCAAATTCGTTCTAACGAAGAGGAGAAGGTGAAATAAACTTGGGCAAATAAAGAAAACGATAAAAATATTTGCAATTTATTTCACTACTTATTAACTGGTGGTTTAGGTGTTTATTACATAATGCAGTGCTATTTTTAAAATGATCGTAAAAATATCACCACACAACTTATGCATTGATTGTGTTTGACAATATATATTTATTGACCAGTCACAACACTAGCAAATACAACTTACAAAGGGGGGGGAGGGGGGCGGTGTAGGGGGTTTAGTAGTTTTTGTAGCAGTAGAGCTAGAAGTACTGTCACCTTACTATTTCTGCTGCCAAGTAGATGCTCACATTACTGCGTTCCGGTTTTGAAGGGTAAGGGTGCTGGTGAAATTACAGGTATATGGGACTTGTCAACTTACGTCTCAGGGCCACGGCAGTGGCAGTGTCCAACTTTGCGATTTAAAGCTCTCAATCACACTGCAACTATGTTATGGGTAGGGTGTCGGTTACCGCCAGATACACGACTTGTTCGTCCTGTCGCTCACACACGTTTTCAACTTGCAAAAAAATGCATAGATACCTGGTTATACGTCTGGCTAACATGTAAACCTTTAACAATTAAACAAAACTACTGTTAACAGATGGCACCACTTTAAGGTGCAATTTAAAACGCTACGGCACGTACATTTTTGTTTCAAAAGTTACATTTCCTGTTTCAAGTTTCATTTATTTTTTTGAATCACTATGTATAAAAGTGTAAAATGGAACAACGATGATTCTACTACGTACGGGGTTAACAGCACCTTGTTAAGCTTACTGTTGTGGTGTTGAAAACATTAGTCAACTGCCAAAAATCAACCTACGGAGTATGTATGCTCAAGAAATATTAACCTTTAACCAGTGATTGGAAGAATCCATTTTGTTTGCACCATGTTTGTTAGTTTATTGCCTAATATGTGTGTGTTTGTAAACTATGTAGGATTTACAATAATAAATGTAGTTGAATTAAGAAAATCTTATCATTAGTTATTTTATATCATTATATTATCAAACGTTATTTGCATATTACGCGAATACACCAAAAGTTACGGAAAGTGTACGTTTAACCATCTAGCAACACTGAATGGGAGCGAATTTTTGTAATGAAAATTGTTCTAAATATTATAATGATAACATTTTCAGGTGATAGACAACACTGCTTGTTAAAGACAGGACTAAATACATATTATAAATATAATATTTAAGTAAAGATGTTACGTAACAACTTTCCGACAATAATCAACCTAAAATCCAGCCTTTTAGAAAGATGGCTAATGACATGCGACCAAATTAAAGAGTACAGCAGTAAAACGACGTATGAAAGTTACTACTAAATATTGTAGTAGTAAGTTGTTGTTTGGGCTAAATTGTTTTTAGCCCAAACCGCTTTAGTAGTTCGTTTTCCGAACAATATTCGCGTCGTCTCGGGAATTCTCGCAGCTACTATATCATCTGGTTGTACGATGCACAATTGACATTAAGTTCTTTATAGTTACAAAAATAGCTTGCATTCGTGGTAATATAAATTGAGCCTTAAAATGATATAGTAATTTTTTTGTATTTATAATTGTATTTGGTGATTCAGTTCGGCTACTATAGTAATGATAATCGACCACAGAGTCTTTGTACTTGTTTATCAACTCGATAAATGGTAATGTTCTTTTTCATTCACAGTCAGAAAGATCTATAACACAGCCATCAGACAACATCAATAGAGTGGGAGTGGGATCCTTCGACAAGGCTTCGCCATTCTTTCAAATGAATTTGAATGATTTGAAGCCCTTTGCCTATTTGACAGTGAACAGACTTGACGTTTATCCTCTTAACCCTGAAGAGTGCCCCAGTGCTGAGGGTGATGGTACGTATTTATGTATACTGAACATTTTTTTATGTAGGACAGAACAACCAATTAAAATGAGGGGATAATAAAGTCATAGACGAAAGATAATTCCAGTAAATGTCAAAATATTCGCATTATCATTAAGAAACAGACGTCGTTCCGAAAATGTTACTAACTGTGCATTATCAACCAACGTTACAACATCTTTTTTTACTGTGAGTAAATATTTACTCTTTGCCCTTTGCCCTTTTGCTCTTTGAAAATTATTCATATATTTTCTTAAATACGATCACAGGCCTTATGCTTTCATTTTTTTGTTTCACTTTGTGTATCGATCGGTCCTAAGTATAAGGGCCAAAGTAACAATTTGATCATTTTCGCTTTAGTTTTGTGGGAAATGCTTCATTTCATTGTAATCTATAAAGAGCATCAAAACAAAATCAAACATATTCAAGGAAACCTCGAAATACAAGGAATTCTTGAAAATATGCCAGGTTGCACGTTTGGAAGCCTCTCCTGTAAAATTGTGATTTTGTGCTTTGGCCCTTATTCGATATATACATATATGTATGTATGGATATCATTAGAAGTCGAAATTTTAAATTACGACGCATTTGTTAACTGAAGTACCTATAGTGCGAGTACGTTACATATAAGTCGATATACTTCTATAATACTGGTTGTAAAGCCTCAATCTTGTTCTTTTTTCGGACAGCAGCAGGAGCGGAATCCCGTCCTCATTACACAACCCACAATGGTCACGCTAGTCTGTTTTCATTGCAAAATTGAAAATTTGTCACGCGACTTTAAAACCAGTTCGCATTGCAATGCCAGTGCTGTTTATTATTCACATTAATATGATAATTAAAGGTCTTTATTAACGATAAAAATTTTAATAACTTCCATGGCTTTTTAAAACGCCTTTGTTGGCCCTTTAGCCTCTTTTTTGAATGTTGTATATTTTATTACCTCACGGTCGATCAAAATGAGTGGTTCAGCGTTTTTATTTTCATTTCATTATTCTTTCGTTTAATAAAATAAAAAAATAACTGAAAGAGGATTATTACATTCCCTTGAATTCAGTCGCGTTAATTCTAATCTCATTACATAATCCTTATATACATATTAATTATATTTAAAAAATCAGATCTTTGTAATTTAAAGCTCTGAGTGGCACTGTTATGGACAAGCATGTAGCTTACTATCAGGCGCACGACTTGTTCGTCCCATCACTTGATGTTAAACATATATAAAAAAAAAATAACCATTTCGTTTTAGTAAGTACGGCAATCATCAGATGAAATAAATGGACTTTTTGCGGCAGCCTGTATTTTTAGCTGCTTTCACTCGTATTAAAATATAGGTATTTATATTGCGTCCTTTCAATGTTACAGAAGTAAATGTAAAGCCATGGGGTGGAAATGAAGAAGAGGAACAGTAAGTGTTTTTTCTTTTTACAAGCGTTTTTTTTATTTATTTCAATTAAGTTTAGCTCGTATTGTAGAGTTGGAAATAATTAATTCAGTGTTATATTAATATAACTTCGCTTATAAATGCGGAGCTGGTTCCAGTATGCCACAAACATGGAGTATATAACCGAATATAGAGACGAAATGCCATTTAATTAGTTTGAAAACTATCCTGCCAAACCATTATTTATTACATATACATACATATTTAATTACCGATGAAATGTGATTCCGTTTATTTTGTAATCAGATGTTTTGCTGTTTTTTCCACACCACCGAATAGAACATATAGCAACCTATTTTTAGGGATATTATCTTTATTGCAATAAATACTTATTGCAATAAATACAGAACATTTTTGGAATATACGGAGACGTACACACAGGTCAGTTGTTGGCGATGTACTATTTCAGCTTTCTAATTTGTGATTTCAGTGCAAACAAGAGTTGATATTTAAAAGTGATATAAGGACCATTTGCCTGGTGAATTGCCAGGGGTGGATAGCCCTTATTTAGTTTCTATTTCTGGTTATATACTTGATGGCTACAAATTATTATGTGCCGTGCTTTATTCCCGACATTGTTCATGGCATATAGTTAGCACGCAATTAAATTATTAATAACCCACTTACTACACCGTAACCAAATTCTAAGTATAACATTGTTAATTATAAAGTTTACCTGGTACCTATCACAATTTGACGCAAGACGCATTGACAACATCGTGTACATAACCTGATGCACTCAATACTCTATGATTCAATGATTGACGACCTCAAGTGGCACAGTGGTTTACAATAGGGTTGTTGCGCATATCAGCATCCGCATCCACTTCCGCGGATAATCTGCATACATTAAAATATTCGCATCAGCATCCGCATTCATAGTTAGCATCGATTCACTGCGGATGTTCGAATTGTGACATGACTTAAAAGGCACGTTGGAATAATTTACAAATCTTCCAGAAACAACTAAGCCAGAAAAGCAGCTCAGCTGTTGTGTTTACAATATAACTTTGATAAAATTCCACAACGATTAAGCTAGGCAGATTGATTGTTTTTATGAAGATTGATTCTTTTGTTTATAAGTGTCAGAAAATCACTGAAATTATATTTTGTTACAACATGAAAGAAATTGAAAAGCTTTTTATGTAGATTGATTCGGTAAGGATGTATAATTGTCGCGATATTTTTTAATTCCTAAAATGAGCAACCTCATCAGCATCCGCTGGTGTGTAATAAACCTGCATCAGCAACAACTTTAGTTTAACACTATGGGCGCTGGATGAGGCGGTCAATTCCCGGAAGGTTTTCTAAATTTGTCATAATTTTGGATACTCCGGGCAATGCTCCGGAATTCCGGAGTAAAATCTGTAAGCTCTAGTACTCATAATACAAGGGTTTCCTACTTTGAAACCAGGTAGGTAATTTGCGTGGTTGTTTCGCACTAAAAATAGTCTGTCTTTTTTGAAGTCGGAATAAAATGACGGTTCACTACGCAAAAGTGTTGCCCGCTTGCAAGAAGCTAGTGACTGAATGTTGGTCACGCTTATGCAATAAATGGCTGAATTTTGTTCATCTGAATCAGCTGAGTCACAGATTCGTTTCAATTTTTTGTTATGTAAATGAAATGTCAAATTTTGTAAGTTCATACCTACATACATACACTACATGTCCAAAAATACAAAAAGGAGTCGTTTAATCGTTTTTAATTTTAATTCAATGTGATTTTAATGAAATCCGCCTGTTCTTGATAAAATGTACACGAGTAAAAATTGTTTTTTAAAAGTTGCTTAGTCAAAATGGGAATGAAGATGATAATAATAATAATAATAATAATAATAATAATAACGCTCACACTCAACATAGCCCCGCACTAGGGAAACCCTGTGTCGCGGGTGCCATGGACACACACATAGACAACCACAAATTACACCCAAACTCACGAGAGAAATAAATGTAGGCCATACAAATATTTCTCCCGGCCCGGGAATCGAACCTGGGACCTCTGCGTGGCAGTCCGGCATGGTAACCGTTCGGCCACGGAGGCAGTTAGATGCAATTAGTAATCGTTAAAACGCCGTAACATTCACAATTCCAACACTTTTGCCAAAATATTACTTTTGCACATTGACTTACAAATAAATGGACGACGGGTCTAATACAAAAACCACGAAAAAAATGTCCCAAGTCAACCTATTCGAAATTTAAATTGTAATGTCATCGCAGTATCGCGCTGTCAGTAGAACAAATGAAGACTAAAGCGGAGTTTGGCGCTCTTTTAGCGCGGACCCGACGTCCATATAATTGTAAGTAAAATTTTATACAACTGGCAACACTGCAAATGTACTTTTACTCTGTCTCTAAAAAAACAAAGACTATTATTATAAAAAGTTAAATGTTCGCCCGCACACTGGAGATTGTCCTCAATGGGACAAAATCCAAAACATCTAAATAAAAATAATTAAATGTTCTATCGACTTTAGGGAATTTGATGACGAGCCGCAATTGGCCGAATCGCGGACGAGGTGCTTCAGTGATTGGGGCGCGTGGTCACCATGCCGAGGAACGAGTGGCGCGTGCGGTGGTGTCGGCACACAGATCAGGACTCGTCACGAGGTATCCGATGTGAGTTACATTTCATGCTTCGGATTTCTAGACTATCATAACGAAAAGTAAAAACTTGAGACCCCTTAAATTTCTTACGGGTGGCCTTCCGCCTCGGTAAAGAAACAACTGAGATCTATCATCCAAGTGGTGGTAGCGTCGTCTCTCAACCCAATATTATTATTATATTCAATATTTTTTATTTGCTTTCCACAAAGGTGTACAAGGTGTTACATAGTAAAAGAATTACACCATGAAACCTTACGGGCAAAACAAGTACCTAGAAGGGAAGAGAGTAAATAAGTGTAGGCTGTTTTCAACTGTTCCTTTCTGTTACAAACTTTTGATCAGAAATTTATTAATATTGTAATAACATTGCGATCTTAAATCCGTTACAAAAGAATGAAGAGTCCTTTTTTAGAAAAGTTTCTGTCTAGCAGTAAACTGTAGGATGTTTGTAAAAGCGCAAAATAACTTGTAAACTGTGGATACGCTATGTATATACAAAAATAATGCTAGATTAGGAATAGCTCAATATGTAAAATTACTTGTATAAATGTCGTCTGCTGTTGTCGAAAAAGGCAAACCAAGCAAATAGTCCGACGGCGTAATTCCTGGCAAAATGTTACGAGCAATGCAACACAAGCACTAAAATTCAATATTGCTATAATTTCCCAAAGAGTTGCATGCATAGAAATCTGTTGCACGTAATTAGTTACATAAATTTCTAAAATCCTGAACAAATGCATAATTAAATCATATGGAATTCTATTGTTAACAGGACTACAACGATTGGGAAGTGAAACCGCTGGCCAAATGTTACGATAATTTAGAAAATACTTTATTTGAATCCCGCGAGTGTTTTGTTGAGTGTTAAAATTTAATAAATGATTTAGGCATAGTATTTACATACTGTTTATTGTTTAAGAAAATAAATATGTTTCTTATTATCTACTGGTAAGCAGTTAATATTACTTACTTGATTTTTAAATCACCGATATATTTTATTTTGACCTACGAGTAAGTTATACATAGCAGGACCTTATTTAGTGAAAGTTTTAAAGATTTTGAGCTCTTTGGTTTTAAATATACACTACCTAGGTATACTAGGTATTTCAAGAACGAGTGGAATTGTGGGACAGAGAAGAAATCATACCGTGTTTTTGCGCGAAAAGCAACCAGTTTATGAGAACTAGCGGGGGAACGGGTAAGGGGCGGTGTCAACATTGTTGTGTGTCGAGTATGAAGTAGAGGCGGTTTGGCGCATGCCCCGTGCGAGGCAATGGCCCCGCGGCTTGTAGCGCGACTTGTTGATTATTCACTGCTCTCCGAACGAGCTAACCGACAGGTCGTGCGGACTGGGCTTGAGCAACGCGAAAAGTACAACATGGTGCAATGTTAAAAGTTTGAAGTATGAACTAGTGTATTAAAATTGATAATGGGAGGGCAGTGAAGTGTAAATAGTGTTTATAGTAGTACTGTGCTACTAAGTTAAGTGGTAGTTGTATGTTTATAAGTTGGTTACAAGTTAGTTGGAACTAGTTTTACTTGCACCACGCGTCTCGCGGATTGTATTTGAAGAATGAACGTTATTAACGCGATGTGTGTAAAGTAAAGTTATTGAATTGTGGGATGTGCGTGTGACTTTATCGACTTGAAATTTCTGGACGAAACTTCAAAATGCGGTGCCTGGTGCTGGTGTTTTTAATTGCGGCGGTAGTCGCCGATCTGGGGAGGCGGTGTTCCGAACTCAATATCACCGTCGACGAAGGTAAGTAACTTTTTACCTGCGTTGTGCATGCTCACCGCTCGGTTTGTGTCGTGCTTTGTTCTAGGTCCATTCATACTTCTCGGAACGCTCTTGGAAATTTTTGGAGAAAATTGACACTATTCATAAAAACTTGCTGTGGTCTCGTTTCAACTTGATAGCCCGAGTCTTTCTTCCATGATTGTGTCATTACATGAATATTTGCTCGATGAGTGGCTATTACATTTCTAGCTATTGGCGTGAACGCCTTGTATCACCTATATCCGCGTAAATACGATAGGAACTTGATAACGCGCGGCGAGTTTGTCACTTTTATTTAGTGTACCTTTGGCATTTACTTATTTTGGTATGCGATTTTATTACATGTAAACGAAAAAATAGGCATATTTGCTTTTTCGACTGGGGTACGTCGAATAGCTTCAAATTATTTTTTACGACTTTTGCTCGTCTGATCTCTAAATTGTGATTTCCAATGTAGCGCCGAAAATTTCTATTTGAACTTGGGTTAATATTTCGTGAAGTAAAACAGTAGTTGACTATAAGGGAATCTAATAAACCAAGTCTAACACCATTTCTTCACCACAAAATCGAAGTCATGAATCATAACTATTTATTGTTACCTATTCTTGTCGGAAGTGACCGGCCCTTTTTAATTCCAAGGATACCTACCAGCCATTCTCACGAGTAAAGTTAAAAACTAACTCAAAAATAAGTGGCAATCCTCTTAAGTATACCAAAATAATAAATTTTCGCCTAATATCGTTGCGAAATCTATGATGAATCAACTATAATGGTTATGTGATTCATCAACAGTTATTACAATGAAGAGAAGAATGCCTCGAAAGCAATTTTTGAATAGAAAAATGCAGACAACTCTTAAGTCATTTTTGGTTTATTTTGTGGGCCAATAAACCTACACCTGTATTGGTTAGAATTGTAATTTTTCAAAGTAACGTCGGATTTTACATTCTATTTGTTATTCTTTGCGTTTTCATTGATGCATGAGCTTGACGTTTTAATCACGTACTACGTTTCCTCATATGGATCGTTAGCTTTAAAAAACTCCGAGGAACCCATATTCTTGTAAAGATAAGAATATTGAGAACAAATAAGTATTGACGTTGAATATCCATTATATTCCTTGATCGAGTAAGAAAAAAGGAAAGCCGCACGAAAATTAAAAAAAAAACATGTAGATGGTGCAAGGACGCCCAACCACCACTATGATTTCAATGTTCCGAAAACAAAGAAGCTCACGTTAAAAATGTAGTTTTAACAAGTCAGCGGCCGTATCTGCTTTTCTAACACAATACTTCGATTAATTACGTTACAGTTGTTACAGTGGAATTGTGCAGTTAGAAACGTATCGATAGAAATTTATTATTTATCACAGTTCGTTGGTAAAGTTATTTGGAAATACTTATTGAAAACGCCCATTCATCAAATAGAAACATGTACCTTAATCGTCATTGCAATTTACTGCGCTTTATAGTAAAATAATTGTTTATACACGTAGGTATATCACGATGGACCAACAGTAGGCATGGTAGGCGCGCGAGATTAGTATCAATCGTGTGTCAGTGTGAAAACATCAAATTACATCATTATTGAATGTAGGTCAACTGCATTATTGAATTATAATGTGCTACGCAAATTAAATCGTGTTTTAACACAACAAAACAGTATGCACAATCTAATCTAAAAAAATAACATTCAACGGAACTCAAATAACGATTCTTGAAGTTGTACAAATGTACTGCAAATGTTACGTCTGTCAGTAGTCACGAGTGCATAAATTCCCTCAGATCTAAATAGATTGAATTACAACACCTTTTTACCTAAGTATTGACTACATTAAATTACGTCTCTCAATTTTGGTCACGTCAACCCTTGGCGACCTGTTATTAAAATTTGTAGGAAATACCTTTGTTTGGTGACAAATGACAGTAATAATGTAAGAGTTTGGTTTCGTGTCCGCCCATCAAATTTTTGCGTGCATTCTAATTTAAAAAAATATTCAGTTATTGTCCAATTTTTTTCGTCTAATTTATTTTTTACAGCTTAGAAATCAATGTTGTTTAATTTTGGCAAACGTATTCCATGTTATTATTAGTAGTTGTTTTGCTTGTCTAAATGTTTTAGTCGTTTAATGTTATTAGAAGTTATCAGAATCTCATGATAAATGGACACATTGAACGTCGTTTTTGCCAGATCTTGGCACAATAGGAACTGTCAAAGAGTAATGGGAATGATTTTGCCTAAAAATAATTACGTATCTATTGCAGTTACTGTAATAATTAGTAAGTACGGTTATTAATTCTATACTGTACGTATTTTACATTGCAACCTTCCTCTCTAAATTGAAATCGAGGAAATTTGCGTACATATGAATTACAGATTTAATCAGAGATTTTTTGTCATGAGATTCTTGTAACTTATGTTGAAAATCATGTTATTTGTTCTATTTTCAATTTGAGTACAGACGCAAAGGTAAGTCTGTTCCAGAGAAAGGTACCACTGAGCAGAAGAGTGGGTTAGTGGAATCTTACAAATTTGAATTTTCCGAAGTTGTTCTCCAATATTACTCACTCGTTGGTTTAACGTTATATATAATCTTATTTAAGAGCTAGACTCTTGTCGGTGTAGCCTTCTCCACTCCTTACGGTTCTTAGCCAGTTCTTTGACCTCTTTATAGCTCTTCACTTTGATCTTCTTTTTTATTTGTTCACTATACGCCATTCTTGGTCTTCCTCCTTTGTCTTTTCCCTTCAATTTTCCCCCAATTGTCACTTTCTCAAATTCGTCACTATGTAAGAAACAAGTTATTCTAAAGTAGGATAATATAGAATTATTGCCTAATTCGCTAACTTTGCTTCAAACGCAAGTTTAGTTTTCATATTTACATATATTACGAAACAAACAACGTAGTACTATTTATAGTAACTCTATATTATATTAACAAAAATGAATCGGGCATTACTAGAAATTGAGTCGCTAATTTCTTGTTTCAAGCTATTTGTAAAATGCCTTGCCTTGCCTGAATATAAGTAGAGACTATTCAAGATAAGCATTCAAACTTTTGCTTAAGGGGCTTTGTGTTTGAAGCAAGACAATGGGATATAACTTGAGCAATATTCTTAGCCCCAACGGTATTGAATGATCGACGCGTAACGACGCATGAGCGCTATGCAAGATCAATATTGTTGTTATTAGGTATAAATGATTATCTAATCTGTGTCATACATAAACAACGCATTTGCAATTTGGTAACTTTCAAGAGATGTTGACAACTAAAGTTTTTTTTGCTTAACAATGACACTGAAACTAAATAAGATATCTACAACCCCTATTATAGGGGCTTGTAGATCTCGTTTTTCTGACACGTTAATAACTCAATTTCACTAAAATGTAGATTACGTTAGTTATGGTTAAAGTTTTGTTTCAACTTTCTTGTTAGGTATTTCAAAGTGATCAACGCCAATAACTCTAATCCAAAACATCCACTATTATATTTATTATTATTATTGTATTGCATATAGTAGCAGTATCTGCTCTGTAACTTAAATACTGTAGCGGACTGTACCAGCTGGTTCGGGGGGTGCTATCAAAGCGTGAGCAAGACCAAAGGAAATGGACTTAACAGTTTAATATAGTGCAACGCGCCGCTATCAACCAAAACTGAACAATAGTAAAGGCGTCAAAAACACGTTTAAATTTAGAATTTAAACTTAAAACTAAACTTAAAAAAAAAACAATATAAAATATATGTGCAAGAAAGATTTGTAGCGACTGCTACGATTCGGTACAAATGCACATTATTAAATTTCGATGCATCGAGGTAACGTGGGATATTTTATTTCACCGATGGCTAGTCAGAGACCTCAATTGAAGTTTTGTCCACTTGTTCGCTGTTAACCCTCGCATAACTCGAGCCAACAATAATAATTTCCTGTCCCTAGTACAATAAGTCATTCATTAGCCTTAATTTATTCTCCTTGCACTCACCTCACATTCACAATTTAAAATATTACATTCCCAGTGTTCCCGCCACTTGTCGCACACGTCGCTGCGTGCGCTCTAGAAAATTGAAAATACGCTAAATTAAGCTAGCAATGTAAAGTGCCCTTTACGGTCGGGTCTGTTGTTCGGGCGCTGGCTTGATTGGTATGGCTTCTGTGACACGGCTGCCTGCGCGGTGACGTCACCGTGTAACCGGACCGAGCGGCGGCGGTTGGCCGCCACGCGGATAGGCACGGACACGCTTGTTCAATTCAAAATTTAAACGAAAAACCGTCAACCTCAACAAATAAATGTAGGAAGAATTTGTATGCGTGTGCGCATCCTACTTTGCTATTCAAACAGTATTCTCAGGTCGATTGTTATCCACGCTTGTCCTGTGGCCGTTATCGATTTAGTGATAACAAACGTAGCCCATGTCGATTGCGCAACACCACCAACTTACGCGAGTAAATTTTTCTGACAATCATGATTTTCTGATTACTCCTCGTTTTAATTCGATGGTCATAATTTGTATAAACATCCTAACGTTAAGTTTTGACAACGCGGCTAAGATATTTTCGTTACCCTCTTGACTAATTTTGGAATGGAAACTCAGTTGCTCTAACTAAATCTTACACGCCTAAATGGATGTCCTTCTCTTTTTTCTTGTACAGTAAGACATGTTCAAAGTATTGTTGTTTTATAATATATTCCTCCCCAAAATGAGAAAGTGTGCGTTTATCGGAAATGTTACTTTCAGTGAGCTTGATAGCAACAACTGAGGCCTGAATGTAAATTTGTAATCATTCAAACTTAACTACCGCGTTTGCGTTAAGATTTTTATTTGGATATTAATCACATGATTATTAGGTTTAAATGAAAATCTTTGTAAACGCCATAGTTAAGATAACATATTTGAAAACTTACTCTAAATCCCCAGGCATATATACGATCCGATCAGGTTAAAGTAATATTATTAAATATTAATACGCGCGAGACGACGC